TATATATTGTATATATATCCTATATATATGCTAAGGTCCCGCTGCTGACACGATAGCAGTCATGTCGTGCGCATATGTGTAATTAAACCGAATTAAACCCATGATATCACAATCTCACTCCAGCCAGGTACCCAAAGTTGGCAACCCTGGTGAAGCTAGCCATGATGAGAGTGTTATCTCTCACGGCATTTCGTGTTATTAGTCACGAAATTAATGTAATCTATTGATTCGTGTTCACCAACACGATTTTCACCTTTTTTTCGTGTCACACAGAACGATTTTAAATGCAATGTATTTCTATTGGTAGTATGTTTCGTGCCTGCAACACATGTTTTTGTAAAAACATGTTCTTACTCAATATCTTACCCTAAGCCTAACCCTATCCCTTTTATTTTAAATTGTATAATGTCTGAGTTTTTTTGCCGTCAGTGAGGAAAAGAAATGGCTCAGAGCCTCAGAATACTGACATCTGTATTTTATGTCATCTTTTTTTCCTTCTAATTTGTTATTATTTACATTGCTTTTAAAATCGTTCTGTGTGACACGAAACAAATGGCGAAATTGTGTTGGTGAACACGAATCAATAGATTAATTTTGTGACTATAACACGAAATGCCGTGAGACTGTGTTGCATCTCTAAACTGAAACCAGCTGTAAGTCTGGTATAAAACTCTGAAAGTTTTGACTCTGATTGCAGTGAAACAGATAAACTTCAGGTTGTTTGGGGACGCGTCCTCGATGATCTCTGAGTGTTTTTATCTTCCTGACTCAGATTCAGACTCTTCAGAAACAGATTTCTGTAACTCTGAGAAACCAAGGCCGCTCAGAGATTACTGATCAGGTTTCCTCATCTGTATTTATTATATAGCACATTCCTCAGGGCTTATCAGTGGCCTTCATGCAGTTTGAGGAATAACATCTGTGAGAAACGATTTATTAATGAATGAGATGTGAGATTGTGTTGAGGAGAGAGGAAAGGCACCATGTGACCTTAAATCCAGAAGATCTCTATCTCTGCTCTGCAGTTCAGCTTTGAGGGGGTTATTATTACATTCTGCTCACAAATGATCAAACCGTTGCACATTTAACTGCGATTCACTCAATGTTGGTTGGTTGTAAGATAAGGTTTTATCATATTTTGTGGAAAAGTGCTGTATTTTGTTACTGAGAAATGTAATATATGGCAAAATGTGGGAACAGAGGCTTTTTAACGACACAATTCAGCAGATTATTACAAAAATAAGCCGTTGTTATTACATTTGATTGAGTCATCAGGCTGTATAACACGGTGTCACTGCTTCTCCACTGGGTATTTCTAGACACATTTGCACATTAAAGGTCATTTTGGTTTATTTGAACTTTAGTAAATGTTGGTTAGTTGTAACATAAAGCTTGCATTTGTAAGGTTCAGCGTTTACAAGCTAGTATTACAAAATAAGCCTTGGTTATCTCACAATAAATGGAAATGATGGCTAACATTTAACCTAGTTATTAGGCTATCAAATGTGGATTCATAGCTTTGTAAACATAACAGCCTGGTCTTGTTTAACAGCATTAAAACTGCGACTGAGCAGCCATTTAACTAAAAATCTCTTTTGCAGCAACTTATCGTGTGTTTTTAGTCTGATAGGTAGGTGTTGAAATACAGAGTAAAGACTCCGAGCTGATCTGGACTCTGAACGTTACAGAGAGAGAAACAGTGATTCTGTGGAGAGGATTATCTCTGCAAACATGCACTCTGCTCTGTTTGCTTTACTGAAGTCCTCTCTTTACCCAAACTCTGCTGCTCAATATTCAGAACATCCTCAGAAACACACAGAAACAGAAACAGAGCTGTACATTATTTATATCAGACTGCAATATCTCAATAAACACTGCACTCCTCCAGCTCCTCCTGAAGCTTCAGACTCTCAGGAACTTTTATACAAACAATACAACTTCTCAGAAAAACACATTATACTCAAGTTTATACTCACTGTATACACACTGTACACACACTGTATACTCACTGTACACACTGTATACTCACTGTACACACACTTTAAACACAATGTATACTCTCTGTATACTCACTACTAACTGTATACTCTCTACTCACTGTATACACACTGTATACTCACTACTGACTGTATACACACTGTATACTCTCTACTCACTGTATACACACTGTATATTCACTACTACACAATGTATACTCACTACTGACTGTATACACACTGTATACTCTCTGTATACTCACTACACACTGTATACTCACTACTAACTGTATACTCTCTGTATACTCACTACTAACTGTATACTCTCTGTATATTCACTACTACACACTGTATACTCACTACTGACTGTATACACACTGTATACTCACTACTGACTGTATACACACTGTATACTCACTACTGACTGTATACACACTGTATACTCTCTACTCACTGTATACACACTGTATATTCACTACTACACACTGTATACTCACTACTAACTGTATACACACTGTATACTCTCTGTATACTCACTACACACTGTATACTCACTACTAACTGTATACACACTGTATACTCTCTGTATACTCACTACTAACTGTATACACAATGTATACTCACTACTGACTGTATACACACTGTATAATCTCTACTCACTGTATACACACTGTATATTCACTACTACACAATGTATACTCACTACTGACTGTATACACACTGTATACTCTCTGTATACTCACTACACACTGTATACTCACTAACTGTATACTCTCTGTATATTCACTACTACACACTGTATACTCACTACTCACTGTATACTCACTACTCACTGTATACTCTCTGTATATTCACTACTACACACTGTATACTCACTACTCACTGTATACACACTGTATACTAACTGTATACTCACTGTATACTCACTGTATACACACTGTATACTCAGCTTTAAGTCATACTTTGTGTGCACAGTGTTGTATTTCTTTATACCTGACCAGTCTCCACTCTGTAAATGCATTATTAGTGTTGCCCCAGCAGTCAGTCTGAATATAAAGTATGGAGCTCTGAAGCTGATCTGGAGTCAGTCTGAATATAAAGTATGGAGCTCTGAAGCTGATCTGGAGTCAGTCTGAATATGAAGTATGGAGCTCTGAAGCTGATCTGGAGTCAGTCTGAATATGAAGTATGGAGCTCTGAAGCTGATCTGGAGTCAGTCTGAATATGAAGTATGGAGCTCTGAAGCTGATCTGGAGTCAGTCTGAATATGAAGTATGGAGCTCTGAAGCTGATCTGGAGTCAGTCTGAATATGAAGTATGGAGCTCTGAAGCTGATCTGGAGTCAGTCTGAATATGAAGTATGGAGCTCTGAAGCTGATCTGGAGTCAGTCTGAATATGAAGTATGGAGCTCTGAAGCTGATCTGGAGTCAGTCTGAATATAAAGTATGGAGCTCTGAAGCTGATCTGGAGTCAGTCTGAATATAAAGTATGGAGCTCTGAAGCTGATCTGGGGTCAGTCTGAATATAAAGTATGGAGCTCTGAAGCTGATCTGGAGTCAGTCTGAATATAAAGTATGGAGCTCTGAAGCTGATCTGGGGTCAGTCTGAATATGAAGTATGGAGCTCTGAAGCTGATCTGGAGTCAGTCTGAATATAAAGTATGGAGCTCTGAAGCTGATCTGGAGTCAGTCTGAATATAAAGTATGGAGCTCTGAAGCTGATCTGGAGTCAGTCTGAATATAAAGTATGGAGCTCTGAAGCTGATCTGGAGTCAGTCTGAATATGAAGTATGGAGCTCTGAAGCTGATCTGGAGTCAGTCTGAATATAAAGTATGGAGCTCTGAAGCTGATCTGGAGTCAGTCTGAATATAAAGTATGGAGGCTCTGAAGCTGATCTGGAGTCAGTCTGAATATGAAGTACGGAGGGTACATGGCTGAATTCAGATCTGAAGGCTGATCTGGAGTCAGTCTGAAAACGTCTCGTAGCAGTGTGTGAAAGAAACAGAGAGACACGTTGGTATGGTATTGCTTTTTTATATTTCATGAAATATGCACCCTGTTTTCTTCAAATTCTTATTAAAATTCATGGCACTTTGACAGAGTCGAACACTGATGATGGGAAGAAAATAACATTCATTTCAAACCATGAGGAACAACGTGAGAAATCAACAGGAGGAGCTAGCTTCATGCTAACTAATCATATGAATAGTTTAGCATTTTGTTAGATCTGCTGATTGGATTTCTTTCTGTGAGTCAGACGAGAAAGTGGAGACAAAGCTAATGTCTGTGCGTTAAATATGGAGACATGAAGTGTGTAGCTTAGCTTAGCTTAGCTTAGCTTAGCATAAAGACTGTAAACGGGGGGAACAGCTAGCGTAGCTCTTTCGACAAACAGGATGACCAGTTGTAGGAAAAAGTTATCATAGTGTTTGAGGGCTCTTAACACTGTGAAGGTGATTTTAAGATACACAGTATTCAGATATCTGTGTATATAAACATATTTATTCCTCATTTAAATGATGCAACAGCTACAACGTTAGCGCTGATCGACTACATGACTCAGCTATTTCTCCATTTTGATGATTTTATTGCAATAAAATCACAGCAAAAGATGCTTGTTTTAGGTTTTAGTCGCTGTAATGAACCAGAGGGTACACAAAGGGTCTGAACAGGAAGTCATATATAATAGATATTAAGAGTGTTTCATTTATGGACTTTTAGCCTCCAACATGTAGCTTTAGATAAAGCATTACCCTGTAGGCTCAGACATCAGATCAATATCCATCTGATCGTCTCGATCACAGAAAGAAAGATGTTATATTCTTCCTTCTTTAGGTTTTTACAACATAAACACAGAGACACACAACAATACAAATAATAACAATTATATAGAAGTAATACTGAAGGAGGAGCTGCCTATAGCACAGTAATACTGTTAGAGAGGGCAGACACACACACGCACGCACACACACACGCACGCACACACACACACACACACACACACACACACACACACACACACACACACACACACACACACACACACACACACACACACACACACACACACACACACCTTAATATATAACATTATTGCATTTCATTATTACTTCATATACGACACAAGGCATAGTGAGATCCACCCAGAGAGGATTGTGGGTAGTGATTGTCCTTAGTTAGCAAATGGCTTCTGGTTCTGAAGCGTCCCTTTAATACTGAGAGAAAACACTGACTGAGCTTTATATCACACGTGGTGCTCATAAAACACACCAAATACCTCATTTATGTACTTTCACTGCAACTAACGAGTACTTTTATTACCAATTTATCAATAAATGTCCAAATATATTCACTTTCATTTGATATAAAGCAGAACTCTTCAGATTGGAGAGGCTGGGAACAGCATGTAAACACTTTTTTATGCAGTAAAAAGCTTAATTATGAGTAATAGATTATAGTCTAATTACTGCAGGTCCGTTTTACTGCAGATTTTAAGCGTTTTTTAAGAAAAAACAGTATAATATTAAAACAAATGTGAAGAAATACAATGATTTGGCATGTAAAGGAGGCACATATAAGTCATTATTCAATATGTTGTCTTCATAATCATCTTGTTTTCCATTAGTTATTATTAACAAAGAATCAAATTGATAAAAAATGAAGGATATTCTTATCTTTTGGAGCTGAACTGAGATCAAAAGTAGGAAATCCATCAGAAAATATTCATAGATTGTCATGCATGAAGGTCCTTATATATAATATATTAAATATAATAACATATAAATGACTGTTTATGAACACCACATCAGATAAAGTGTCACCAGGTCTTTGTTTTTGGAGGAAAGCCTCGTAACACGTCCTTCATTATCGACTTCATCTCCTGTGCCCATGAGCAAGGCACTAACACTGTGAGGCTCAAACACTGAAGGTCCAAATACACACATCTTATTACATGTAAATACAAAAAGCATTAATAATACAGGCTGGAAAAAAGCATCACTTGTAAAAAATTAAATCAGACTTCCAGGAATTAGTCTGCACCGACGACTCCTATCTCTGTGTGAAAGAGGGAATTCTGGGTAATAAGTCAGATGGGATGTGTTGACCTCGTCTGATTCCAAGAATCCAATCAGACACACACACACACACACACACACACACACACACACACACACACACTGGGGAAAAACCCCGTGAGTAACACTGTTCGCACGGAAAGCTTTTCAAAATAAAAGCTTTTCCACCGGCTGATTGTCGATAGGAATGATTGTCGAGAGTTCCTCCCCTCACACACACACACACACACACACACACACACACACACACACACACACCTGTGAGGCCTCAGAGGGGGGGTATACCTGCGATGAGGAGGCCCAGGAGGAGGATGAGCACTGGGGGGAGAGAGGAGGAGGGCGCGCCCCCGGAGGAGTACGTGGAGGAGGTGCTGACCTCAGAGGACAGGAAGGCAGACAGAGGGACGTGAGAGATCAGCGTGGGACTCGCATAATTAATGAGGGAGTCGATCTTCTCCGCCTCCTTGTTGCACGCCTCGATCTGAAAACACACACACACACACACACACACACACGCACGCACGCACGCACCACCACACACACACGCACGCACGCACGCACGCACGCACACACACACACACACACACACACACACACACACACACACACACACACAACACACACACACACACACACACACACACACACACACACACACACACACACACACACACACACACACCACTCAGTACAGGGATGTCCTGTTGGTCCCTGAAGGCAGCATCTCATAATAATAAAATGCCATTACTGTTGTGATATAACAGATAACAGGATGTATGTCAATGGCTTACAGTTTTAGACTCACACTGTACATTTTACATTTATATTTAATATAATATTCCATTCCTCACACACTTAATGTTTATATAATATCCTGCTATATATTTAGTTTACTGTAAATTTGTACTTCCACATGTATATTTTCTACTTTTTGAATGCTATTATTATTCCTCGCCACTAGTTTGAGTGACGCGAGTAAACACTCAGACACACACTTAGCCCAGTGCATTGTGGGATACCTATTCTTCACGGTCTCAGGGCTGTTGTTTGTGTTTCTGAGAGTTTAATGAGTGCTTTCTGAATAAAGAAACTTAGTTTGATGGGAAATAACTTCAGGTGCAGATGCAGCAGCTGTTGCTAGGTAACAGTAAAACTAAGAGCCTTCATCAGACCTTCATGTGTTTCTGTTTCCATCCAATAATACCAAGGTCGCTCTGACCTTCATTAGAGCCATAATGTTTCATTCTAAACTACAGCTCCTCTTTTCACCCTCTGTCTGAAACCAGAGCTGCTCTGATTGGTCAACAGCTTAGAGATGTCCCGCCCCCTTAGCCTATCACGTACAGTACAATGTGTTGGAGGAAAAAGTGAGAATTTGAGATAAAAAATAAATAAATTCAGAATTTCGAATTTTTCCAAAAAGCCCGAATTTTTCCCAAAAAGTCAA